CCTTGTATCCTGTATTATTCCTTAGTACAAATAAGGGTGTGTGTGATGGCATTGCCCACCAGTGGCCAAGTGGTCTTCATACCAAGGTGCTAAAATTTTATTTATATTTTCCATATTGTTGAAAATTATTTATTTCTGCTGTCAATATACATTAATCAGAAGAATAATATACACATTTATACAATTAATAAAAGTGTTAGAATTTTAATGAAATTACACGGAAGAAAGTATAAGGTCGCATGATATTTTCTGCAATTATATTATTAATAACCAATGAATCTTCCTTTATTTTGAATAACCTTTATCAGTCTTCAAGCTATCAATGAAGAAAGTTTATTTGGTATGGCACTGTCCCATACAACACGGGGGATACGTTCCACTTTACAGGAAATTGCATTACCGAGATATGCATTATTGGATAATTTTATGCAAGTTTACATCTATGCCTAGAATTTAAAGAAGACAACATATACCTCTGGATGACAAAATTAGAATTTTGTATGAGTTCTAGTTGCCATTCTTTCTTTGCATTATGAGGAAACGCACCGTACATTGGGATTTATCTCNGTAACAGTGCGCCCCAGAGAAGGCAACGGGAAACCATTCTGGGTACTAACTTTCCCTAGTAATGCCTTGGCGTATTTACTAACTACTTACTAATCTACGCCGGGTGTGGCTGAGGTCGGGAAAATCCTGATATGGCACTATGAGATGAGTGATGGCATTACAGACAGTTACAAGAAATGGTAGTCGGAAAGTATTAAAATAGATTCGTGTTTATTAAAGCAAATAATAATTATTTCTCTTAGTAAGAATGTATTATTCTCTTTTATTAACTTTTAGAACTTATCCCTATGATTTGTATTAATCCTTTGTTTTGCATAGCACAATACTTTTTTGGAACCTAACTACCATGTTATACGGAGGATACCTGTACTGGGTACTTGGTGGTCGACTTATACCTGCTGTGTATGTTTAAAAGAGAATTTAGAGATAAAAATCTTCAATGGTAATTGATCTGTAGATTATACGATTCAAATTAATACATGGAAGCAAAGATTGAAAGAATGTAACTGCTAATGCATCTGTGAAGTAAGCAGAAATTGAAGGTTTGGGTTCTGCTCTACGTTGATCTTCTATTCCAAATTCCTCAAAATTATTTAATAATATCAATGACGAGACGACAGCTTAACCTTACGATTGATTAAAATGAAAGTATTTTTTGTGTAAGTCACAATTAGTTAAAGTATAATGAACGTTATTGTGCTACGAGGAGTCTCTAGAATCCACTACACGAATTTTATAGAATGGGATAACACATAGCATGCTTTCCATAATTTGAAATTCAACAACTTTTCCTCAAAGTTTTAATCAAGAAAAGCTGTATAAATGTTCTTTTCTTTGTCCGAACAGCATAGAATTTCACTAATTCAGTTGGTGGATCACCAGTGGTCCGTGCACAAATACCACTTTGAGAACCAGTTCTAATATACAAGATGGAGTTGCCATATGAAAGCATGAAATTGTAAAATACATTCTTTGTGAGCAATAATTAACCGAATGCACATAGAGATGCATTCTTTGAACATTAAATGTACAAACACTAAACACATATATTGAATTTATTCCTGGTGATCCGTGCTTTATGGCTTTATCAAGTAAGTACATCAAGTACAAAATATTGGGTGTGGTGTGAAAAACAGTGGAAAAGTTATCCAATTGCAATTGTGTGAAGTTTCAAGGTTGCTAGCTGTTGCTGGAATCGACAAGAGCATTGTCCCATTTATAGTCAAACTCTATATTCAGCATGCTGTTGGTACCAAACATGCTGCTACAGCAGAAGTATGTGTCTAACAGAGTGGAAGACAGCAAACAGTGGAACTCCACAAACTACCCTTGCAAGTAGTGCTGCAAGAGCAGTCGAATGTGTCAATTTTACAGCTACTGGTCTGTAAAATCGACCCATAGTTAGTGTTAAACAGCTACAAGAATTTGTGCACTTAAGAACCACAGACCAAATCTTTAACAATGCATACATAAATAAATGCTTACTGGAATTAATTAAATAAAATAAACAAACACTTTTCTCTATTCCAGCATGATGTTTACTGCATTAAAAAATGTTTACGACCGTTTTAAGCGATCTTCCTCAGTTCAAATTCGAACCATATAACAAAGAAAGTATTTGAAAAATACAAAAATTCAAAGCGCTTATTCACAACTTAACTCTAAAGCGCATGCCCGTAGTCATAAAATGTATAGATTAAACCAAAATAATTAAAAATAAACCAAAAAAATTATGAATCAAGTAATATTATAAAAACAATTAATAACACCGCCTATGCGGTTGCAACAGTTAATCTATGTTATCATAAAAGGACCTCCAGGCTGTTGATAAACCTTTCAGCATCCCTGTGATTGATGCACTGCGCGATCATATGCGCCTTGTGTATCTCAACTTTTTCCAGGTGTTTCACCTCTTGCGTTGATCTTGTAGGTCTAATAATCGCTGCCTGATCCCAGTATACTGCAATTTCTTGCTGCGAGGACTGTGCTATCAACGTTTCTATACACCGAGTATTTGTGCTCATGAATCCTTGCAATCAATGCAAAGCAGCAAGAAATTGCAGTATACTGGGATCAGGCAGCGATTATTAGACCTACAAGATCAACACAAGAGGTGAAACACCTGGAAAAAGTTGAGTACACAAGGCGCATATGATCGCGCAGTGCATCAATCACAGAAATGCTGAAAGGTTTATCAACAGCCTGGAGGTCCTTTTATGATAACATAGATTAACTGTTGCAACCGCATAGGCGGCGTTATTAATTGTTTTTATAATATTACTTGATACATAATTTTTTTGGTTTATTTTTAATTATTTTGGTTTAATCTATACATTTTATGAGTACGGGCATGCGCTTTAGAGTTAAGTTGTGAATAAGCGCTTTGAATTTTTGTATTTTTCAAATACTTTGTTCGTTATATGGTTCGAATTTGAACTGAGGAAGATCGCTTAAAACGGTTGAAAACGTTTTTTAATGCAGTAAACGTTGTGCTGGAATAGAGAAAGGTGTTTGTTTATTTTATTTAACAATGCATACATAATTCTTCTCTCATTGGAAGCAATAAATGAAGTTGCAACCCGTTGTAGCATACTGCAGAATATAAGTCTAATTAAATTTAAAGTCATTAATAAACTGAATTTACTAAAAGATATATATTAAATTGTTTCAAATGAAGCAATGAATTCAAAGAAAGAATAGGAATAACAATCAAACTCATTTTGTACGACCATTCATTGAACAGGTTTGTACTTCATTACAGCTTCAATTTGTTCGTGTTGCTATTCGCATAATTAAAGACAAGACTCAAAACTTAGAACTTTAATAGCTCTTTTGCTTGTCAAGTGTATTTTTTATCATTTAAATCTATAATACTGAATGAATGTTGCATGAAAAAATGTAAAAAAGAAAACTCAAATAATCAGTTCAGTTGAATTAATCAATGTACCTTCAACAGTGGTACAGTGATTCATTCAACTGAACTGATAAATAAAGTAACAATTTCAACTATTCGTGGTTGAAAATGGCCTGTTGACCAAGTTCAAAATGTTAGTTTTGTTTGAAGTTCACCCACTTAAAGGTGCATTGATTAATTCAGTTGCGTAACCAAGTCCTTATTAGTGTTCATGACAACTTCTGATCATCAAACTAACAATAACAGGAAAATTTTTCTTTTAACATATGAAGAAACGTTGATCAAATACCCTCAACAAAATGTCATTTTGAAGTATTAAGACAGATAATATTAGAGAAGTTGCGGCCGACGTTTTCAACGTGAAAACGTGTACGTCGGACATTCAGTGCCGCTTTCCTAAAGTCCTAGAAGTTAGGCAATAGTGTTTGGAATGTCGAGCAAGATTCCACTGACTATCCAAACACCATTGTCAAACTTCTAGGCTTATAGGAAAGCGGTGCTGAATGTCAGACATACATGTTTTCGCATTGAAAACGTCAGCCACAACCTCTCTAATATCAACTTACAACACTTCAAAATGCCTACCTAATGGCAGTAACACGTAAAACTATCCTGAATCAGAAAATGGAATTGTTTTAGTTTCTGTTTACAGTTTTTGAACTTTAAATAATGTATACAGGGTGAATATAAAGTCCGTGTACATCTACATCACTGACAAACACAGCTAGCTACAGCTACAAACACGATGTATACTTATAGTAAAGTGCTACGAGATGAGACTGCTTGCAGCAACTCTAGAGATAAAATTTAGAAGTTAACACTCTTACTCAAATACAATGCACAATAAGGCAAAAGTCTATTACAAAGTTGTTGAGTATGGCTGAGTTAGTACAGATGGACACCCTGCATGCATGAATAAAAAGCTTGAAATGGTAATTCGTTGGTATTCAATTCCAAATACTACATCACTAATGCTATCACGAGCCCACCGGTGGCCGAGTGGTCTTCGTACCCTAAACACTGGGAGTTCGGTCGTGGGTTCGCGCCACGATCGGACAGGCTGGCTGCTTGCAGTTTTCCGAGTTTTCTCCTTGCCAATAACGACTAAATAGGAGGCCAGTTCCCCATAAAAGTCCTCCCGGAAGGCATTCTTTTCCCTCGCGTAACATCACGCCCCAGAGAAGGCAACGGGAAACCACTCTGTGTACTAACTTTCCCTAGTAACACCTTGGCGTATTTACTAACTACTTACTAATCTGCGCCGGGTGTGGTCGAGGTCGGGAAAACCTGATATGGCAATATGAGATGAGAATTCTATCACAAAGTATAGAGAATGAAAATGCACGCTAGACATAGACACAGTGTATTATTCTAATAAGCAACAAGAAGCTCCATCCCTGATGCAAATGTGTATATGATTTGTAATTGACTTTTTTCTCATATTGTGCATCATTTATGAGAGAGGAGTGCTAACTTCTGAATTTTCCCACCATGACACTGCAGGTGGTCTCATCTTGTAGGTGTAGTCACTTAAGAACATGATGTACAGTTACATTGGTGTATAAGGACTACTATGTATCACGTACATAAAACTGGAATGTGATAAATGTAGTGTCTAGAAATTGTTTATTGTTTATGAATGTATATAAGAAAGCTTGTAGAATCATAACAAAATTACCTCAAAAATCATATCTTCAAATCCGAAAGAGAACGTTGAACCAAAGGGGTTTGTCGTGTTGGTGGACGTTCTGTTTAAAACTACCGGTAACACAGACAATTTAATGAGTTTGTGCTTCACCGAATCCCACTGGAACCAAAGAAGGTTACGTCATTCTCTAATTGCAAACAAAAGTTACTAATAGAACCAACTTACCTTGGTGAAAGTTGTAATAGTCAGAGTTTCGCTCTTGTTTTCTTTATTGGTGCAATTGATATCAATGCTGAGATTGCAACGAAGATAAATGTTAAAATCATAATGACCGGGATAGTTTGTGTGCAGGATGAATTTCTTCACTCTGTGAATTCTCGCATCGAACAATATGTCCTGGAAATTAAAAAGTGGCATCTACAGATTATAATTTTAAACGTAAATCTAACATCAGAATCTAATCAGATTATATGGAGATGGGTGGAAGAGGGGGCAAACTTGCATTTATTGAAGCAGAGCATTACAGAATCCTCTTCTATGTGGCTTACATTATTGTGTTCATTTTCGAAATCTGTTTGATCAATTTTTATAAAACTTTGCAATTATCAATTAATTACTATGAAGAATCCAAAACAAATAAATAAATGGAGATCCATGACTTTATTTTTGAGATATACGGCCCTAACAAGAGTGTGTGCAACAAAGCAATATCATGTGATGTCCCAAGGTTGCAAGCACATCTTCTGCCTGGCTTATAGAATTGAGTTCATTCTCAAAGTTTGATAGGCTGATTTTGATAAAACTTTGCATTTTATGTTGATTGCATTCAAGTGGTGCAAAGATTGTCTGCATGCCTGGCCAGTGCAAACATCTCTTATCCCTGACAGGGTACAAGGATCGCCTCTCCTGTGACTGGCAGGTACAAAAATAGTCTCTTTTGTTGCAGCAAATGCAATGTTCACCTGTCTGCATCTGTCAGGTACAAAGATAGCTCAATTTTATGACTGAAAGAATCACTGAATCATTTTCTATTTTCAGTTGAATGTGAACTGCACCACTATTTGTAGACAGTACACTTCGACACACCAACAAATTGGGTGACTTCATTCACTTTGTGTCTGTGGGCATGGTCAAAAACGATAGCTCGGTTTTTCTACTCAGTAATGTCTGTCATATGCCCATACTGTGGACTCAATTCAACACTCGCATTGAATTGTCACACTTCAGGAGACAAAAATGACCTCACAGACTATGTCTGTGCTATTTATCTCACAACAGTTCTCTCACAGCACCCTACTCCCATTTTTATTAGGTGTTACTAATTTTTGTGTGATATGCTTATATATAACTTATGTGGAAGCCATAGTATGAGTCTAGAAGAGCCCCATTGGCTGGCAAGCTGCATTTGGCTACTGTGGGTATATACGATACAAACACAATTAAATGTATCAGTGTTTAAACTTGTCAGGACTATGCTAGGCAGTACACATAACTGACAATAAATCTGAGGATTAAAAAATTCCACATAATACAAGAAATACTCAAAAGAATTATAGGAGCATCTTTGTAATTTGTCACTTTTCACAGTTCAGGAATACTACAAAGTCATATGACGGAGTAGGCCTTTATTTTGAAGCTCTGAATAGATTTGGTTTTGATTTTTATCCAATATCAATACCAGAGAGACAGTTTTACATACCAAGGTAAAGAAGATCCTCAAGATAATGGTTGACTCTGTCATGTGACTTTGTAGTGTGACCAATTTAGTACGAAAAGACATCCTGCATATGTGAATAGTAGGAATAGAAAGTGTAAAATGCAAATGTGCATGTCAAGCATGGATGGTAAAATGTGTATTTCTTGTATGTTCATTCATGTGTTTATTTATAACTTGGGTATTTGTCATTTTCCTATCTCTTCATGCTTCATTTGTTACTGTGTGTTGAATGTTGTGCCTCACTTACATATCAGTTTGTAAGGACTTTAATATACATCCTGTATATGTAATTGTATATTGTTTGCCCTAAATCGGTGCCTACGTTTATAGGTTTGAATTTACAACTTGTGACATAAATTTAACCTTTGTAAAACAATGAATGGTGCCATCATGTTTCAGTTTAATCAACAAGCACACATAAAGATGCTTAGCAACACTGTGCATAAACCACGAGTATGCATGATGTTGACAAGCACCAGCCTATCCTATATAATTTTATAATATTAACGTACCATTCCTAGCGTAAAGAAATTGTAGAAGTAATCTGACGAACTGTAAGTTATTAATTTGTGAGAATTCGGCAGGTGGATCTTCATTTTATCGTCCGCTTTATAAAAGACTTTATTTGGCGATCCGATGGCTGAGCAGACATCCTGTTAAATAACTAATTATTTGTAAAAATAATTACAGTATTATTAATGTCGTAATCCACGACACTCACCTGAACGGTGTCTCCTAGACTTAAAACCTTTGTTACAGTCTGTTTCCTTAATTCGCGTAATTTGTTGGAGCCTAGTGCTAGAGACAAAACGCTATAATTAATATATAGAAAAGTTAATTTAACGTTAGTTAAATGTCTCTTACCTTCTGAAATTAGATGAAGTTTCACGCCAACTGTTTTGTTTTTTTCTCGCAGCACTTCCAATTTATCCAAGTAGCAATGGTTATAAAAGTTTGATAATGGTAATGACGGTGGCCTGAAAATACATTCGTAATTATTTAGAATGCGTGAGATTGGAGTTATTTACGTAACTGTTCTAACTTACTTTGTTTCGGTTAAGTTGTTCCCACTGTAAATACACATTTTCGCAACCGTGGGTGAAGTACCGAGAGGAAAATGGAAACTCTCCATTCCCTGAGTGTAATTTGGCTAATTTTCAAATATTTAAAGGAAGAGATAATGAATTAGTATGTACATTAGTTTCTATCTTAATTTAAGTTTCTATTACTATAAATAAACTTCATGTGAAATATTATAAGAGACAAACGGTTTCCCCTCTTTTGTGGAACTAAGAGAGCCTTTTCCCGTACCCAAGAACATCATTTGGTTTACAGTCAAACTCTGGCAGGTAGCTAACTCATTGCAGTGTAGCATCAGCATCAAACATTAATGCTGAACGTTGTTTGACTTTGGAGTTGTTGCTAGACCTAAAGTGTGTGCCTAGTTTGATGTCTTGCAGAACAGAGGGCAGCAAATGTAGTGCGGCTCTGCAAACTCCACTGTTTCTGTGCCAAGCTGCTGTCGGACTACAAAATGAGCCTAAGTTTACCATTTGTACCATAGTTTCTGTGAAAGGAAGAACAGAAAATACAGATGCTCTTTCTAAACAATAGGTAAAATTATCCAGAATTTCAAAGTGTCTCTGAGCAAATTAATCATCAAAGAGCTGTATGTTTTAATTACCTGAGAAGTGTATATTCATCACTATGTTTAGCTTCTTGATAAAAAGCACTGAGTTCAGCGTTAATACGATTTTTCTTATATCGCAAGTACTTTCGATAATGGTAATGACGGAGGCCAGAAAATACATTTGTAATTATTTACAATGACCACAGACGCATGCAACGTCCCCACACTCGACTTGCCCGAAATATGGGTTACTTTATACCAGCGTTTAAATAGCAGAAATTGCCAAGAGTCGCACAATTAGTACGATCGCTCCTCAATGCATGCGTTGCTAGTCGTGTGGATTTAGTCGTGTTAGATATTTCGAACGCCCGCAACAGCTTGTTGCACGTGACTAACGGAATTACCGAACGTTATAATTTAGAAATTGACAAGAAAAATTTTTGCGTTTTCTACTTGAAACACACTGCACGTTCTAATTTTCAAATCTGTTCTTTTTTCGCCTGAGGACGACGATATAATACTCGTCGAAAGTACTTGCGATATAA